CATTTCGTTACTGCATTAATAAATTTCTCAAATTGTATTTAAATAATAGCATCACCAATTTGAAATTCATCACATGGTTGATGTGAACTTTCATATTAGTGAAGTGGAGATTCAATTAATTAATTACAATAGATTAGTTGTTTATGCCATCATTAGCAATAGTAAGTTGTTTGGAGCTTGTAAACATGATTATTTTAAACTATTTGATCAAAATAATTATGAAACTTATGTCTCATCTAATCCAATATATTGTTTATCCAATTAACATTCATGAGGCAAATCATTCTCTCAGTATTTATATGTTCTTATATATCCACAGTGAATAATATGTGTATTCACGTGCATGCTATCAAGTACCAATAGAGTGATACTTCTTTAGAAGGCTAGATAAGTGATGCGCTAATGAAAGTTCTCAATGCACTTGAATTACATCTCATATTATCATGTTCGGTGTGGAATTTTATTTGTTAGCAACCAAATATTAGTTTTATCGGTTGCTATTATATTTCCAATAACATAACATAAAGATCACTTCTTCTTATCTCAGCGGTAAGACCTTTTTAGACACCTTCAAGCATCCAAAGCTAGCTATAACATCTTTCCCCTTATAATTTTATTTTAATCTCAACAGTTAAATACATAAGTTGCAAAGTTCAAATAATTCTCCTTCAGAATCATGATTAAGTAGTATCAGGCAAGTACAAACTCTAAAAACCTAAATAAAACATACATGCATAATTATAGGCATTAAATGAAATTTAATAAATATAGGAGCTACTTATTCCTTATAGGTTATCATGTAGATAATCTAGGTTAATTACAATTAATAAAATCAAACTTACTTTTAAGATCCTTATACTAAAATCTTCTCTAACATCATAATCAAATCAATAGTAAAATGTCTAATATCTCAATTAACTATAATCTAATCTAATAAGAATAATACGCCAAAACATAATAATCTATTAAATATTAAAAAAATGGAGTCTCTTCTCAATTATTTTAGAGGAGAAGAAGACAAGAAGGAATTAAAAAGGAGCATTGAGAGGGGATGATAATAAGAGCTCACTATTTTTGGAGGAATGACTGAAGGAAGAGGTTTCTTTGATATTTGTCTTCATTTGAAGGAGAATAAAGAAGGAAAGGAGTACTTATCTAATAATGGCTCAATAGAAAAAGGGATGAGAAAGGGGTGGATGTTTAACAAAAGGGGCTAGACATCATCAATGGAGAGGGTATGTGATCCCCTAGGTTTTCATGTTTCTTCAATCACATTTGATGCAAAACTAGAGGTGCGAGAATCAACACAATTTTGGTACTGGAAAAATTAAGTGAATAACGTGAAGAAGGGAGTTCAAGATTGAGGATTTTGCATGAGATTAACGATCGATCTGGCTTGGTTTGGGTTGTTACACCCACTGGATAATTATAAATGCCCTAACAACCAAAAGACTTTTTCCTTATTCTCTCATGCTAGTTGGATATTAAATTGATGATTGATTGATTCATAATCTTTCATTTACCATTATTTTTTATGAGCTTGTATGCCACAAATGGCTAAATGTTATTGTTCCATTGATTAAGTGAGAAAGAAGATGAGAGTTTTGTAAGTAGGAGCCTTACTAAAGCTAGGCAAGGAGACTACCAATGGACATAATGAATAAGTATTGGGAAAGCATCTAGCTTTAACACTTTATGTCTACCTCAAATGATGTATATTTAACCCATCTTTAGTAGCACTTTCTTGTGGGGTTAATGTGCTCCTCTTTTTTCTAGTCACCATAAATAGCAACCATAATAAGCTCTTCAACAAACTTCTTTATGTTGAGATTTGAATGGCATGAGTAAATGCATAATATGAAATAATTCTATAAATAAATGCATAATTGGTTGCCTGTATTCTCTTAATTTTGTTAAAGTAGCATTAAATAACTATTGATCCTTGCATATGTATGAATGGAACAAAAATCTTCGATAAAAATCACCTTTTAAATTATAAGAGTGAGATTTGACACATTTCCTTTGGGGATAATGTTGGTAATCTATAATATTGGTTTTTTTTCTATGATATGCAATCTCCAACTTTGATGTTTAATGTCAATGCTTTTTTATCTTTGTTGTTAATAATGACTATTGCTGATGTTTGAAATCTAATGTGACCCCTCAATATTATGCGATCTCAATTGAGGGTTTATAAAATAAAAAATGAAAACATTAAACTACCTTAATAGTGGTTATGCATGGATATCACCTTCATTGCCTTAAGTCTAAGTATTTCTTTTTTTTACAGCTTGATGGATGGAGTTGTTGATAATCTTAGTTAACTTCGACAACTCTTTGAATCTACCTTGGCCAATTTGATAACTTTGATAATAAATATATAAATCTTATGTTAAGCTATACATTGAATTTATTTCATCTTTTATTATTATTTTACCTTGAGCTTATAGGTTTGACTGCAACGAGTTGGGAGGAGGAAAGTGGGGTAACGAATCCTTAATAATTCTTTTTCTACTTAACATATTTGATTTGTGGGTCAGGTTCTTCCTTTTTTTTAAGAACTCAATTAATGACCATTAGAAGTTATACATAGAATGTCTATTTTTTTTTCTTTCTCTTTTCAAAAACAATCTCTTATATTGTACTCTAATTTTTTTTCTTGTTTGGATTAGACTAGAACGATTCACCTCTACTTCTTCCAACTCGGTTCTAATCCCTACTGCCCTACTTTTTTTGGAAATCCCTAATCGAGGACTTTAAATCATAAGGAAAAGAGAGAGAGAGAGAGAGAGAGAGAGAGAGAGAGAGAGAGAGAGAGAGAGAGAGAGAGAGAGAGAGAGGAAGTGATTCATTGTGTAAGCAAGAAATCGAAGGAGGGAGATTGACGTCAGCCTTCTATGGCATGTGATGTGCCAACAAGAGAGAGAAGTTGTTGTGTTGGCTATTTTGTCATTCGGTTGTTTTGTTTTCATGGCTTCAATGATGTAGATGAAGAAATCGATGGAGTCATAAAGGTAAGAATGTATTGACCATTTATTCTCATATTTCCATGTCTTCTTACAGTACCATTGATTTTTTTCTTTTAGGGTTAGAAATTTGAAAGAGTCGTCTACTTGATTATTTGTAAGGAAGAGGAAGATTTATGAATTGTTGAAGAGGTAATTATGATGTCTCAAGAAGTTCTTCTTCCTCTTCTTCATTTAGATAAGATGTAAATTCTAGCCTTATTTCCCCATACTAGTAATTAGTGATTCTTATAATTTTCATGGTGATTAGAATTTAGTAACCTTTATATAAGTTAATAGTAAAATTATAATGATTGCCTTTAATGATTGTATATATGAGTTTAAGATTTCATTTCTCCTATTCCACTTTAGAATATGATAAATTTTATTTAATCTCCTATTAGTTTTATATTTAAAATATAATCATCTAGGTTTAATATTATTATATGAGATTATCATGAAAAATAACTTAGGGTTTATGGTAGAATCCTTATTTCAAAAAGATGATTAAGTTTATTGTTACATTATTTTATGTTTCGATATGTGATATATTGAATATACGATTGATCTAGACTCCTATGGATTTAGGGTTTATGGAGTATCATATATTGGAGTGGGATGGGCCTCATGTTGGTTGAAAATTTTAACTACTTATGACCTCTAATTGGTAGGTAACTCTTTACTGAGTAAAGGATAAACATATCCTTCCTTTTTAGGGGTCCATCCTTGATACTTATTGTTTGTTAATAATATATGATTGATTGTGCTCATTCATTAACAATATTTCAAGTTATCATTTGACATGATCTGATAGTAAGCATTGTCATGTTTATTGTTGCTTAGTTTCTTAAATAATTCATGTTCTTTATTATGATAACTATGAATAGTAATTATCTGTACAAATCATGAATTAGATAGTATATATAATTGAGTTTAATTGTGTTATAAGCTTTATCATGTATCATTAGTGCAATACAATATGTATATAATATAAGCTTATGTGTTTTATACTTGTAAATGTCGGTATTTAACCCTATTGGATATTGCCTAACCGAACTGATGGGTACTCAGAGTGAAGACTTTATAAAAAATTCATTAGATTTCCTTGTAATGACTACCTTTCCTAGTGGGGTATTATAGCAAACCGATTATAAATATATGTATGACGAGAAAAATAATAAATGACTAATGGGTCATTGGAGTATCTATAAATATAAAATGCTTGTAATTAAATTTGTATGCATTTGTATACAATGATTATTAATTGGCACAAATAATCTTTGTGAATTCCGCTATATAAGAAGCTTTATTAAATAAAGTATGTATATTCAAAATCTCCTATTTTATACATTATTACAACTATTGCATTTCAGTGTTTATTTCTACTTATTTTCCTCTCTTTGCTCATATTTATGCCCCATGACTTGTTGTTTATGTTTTACTTAGTAGGATTTTGCCTATTGAGGTGTTTCTTCCAAACTCACACCTATTACTTTATAAATTTCAAGTTGCTGGTGGTGCAGCTTATGGAAAAACTTCTAGGTTCTTCCAAACTCACACCTATTGCTTTATTAAAATTTGAATTTGTCAAAAAAAGGATTCAAGGGTAGCCTAAGAGGGTGTCTCCTCTAACATTTTAAGATGTCTTTATAAATCATGTATTTTTACTTATGTGAGTTAATTTTCACAAAAAAAGTATGTAATTTGTATTCCCTCTACAATTTTAATATTTAGGATAATAAATATCTCTAAAAAAAATTAATAATATTTTTAAAATAGTTAATTTATGCCCATTAGAGAATTAGTGAAATAAGTCAATGAAGTTGTATGAGGACATATCTCTTCCCTCTAACATTAGTCGTGATTTTAAATTAGATTCTTAAATCATTTAAGAGAACGATTTATTTATATATTTTTATTTACATTAATTCTTTCATTTAACCAAAAAAAAAACTTTTGATTTATTTTAGAGAAATAGACATAAAACTGAAAAAGCTAATAAAAATCCAAGTTACTTCTTGCTCTCGTTTGAGCAAGGAACTTTTTTTTGAAGATAATGATGGCGTGCCAAAGCCCTCTGTCTACCTCTTACCGATTTTCTTGCGCCTGTAAATCTTATCACTCTGCGGTTCCTTCTACCCCTTCTCCCCTTCTTTCTCGGCACACTGTCTTCTCCTGCTCCCGGGTTTTCTCGCCACCCTCTGACCGCTCATCCAACGTCTCTCTCACTTTGAAACTTGGTCACTCTTATCCTCATAGGACATCAAAAGCACCACTCTCCTCTGCTCGCATCCCCTTCAAGGCAGTGGAATACGTTTTTCCTGATCCAATTCCCGAATTTGCGGAAGCTGTGAGTTGCAGTCCTCTTTTTTGCTCTGCGGTAAAATTTTTACTTTTCTGAAGATTTGCCTATTTGTTTTTTCTCATGACCTCGGTTCATTATTTTGATTCAGGAGACGAGTAAGTTTAGGGCTCATCTTCTCGAGAGGTTGTCGAAGAAGGATATATTTGACGATTCTCTGGAAGAAATAGTGCGTATCTGTACAGAGGTTAGTGATTCTCTCCTAATTTGGATACTATTTTCAGAAAGGGAAGCTTTTTCCAGTTAATTTTGATGGCTGCAATAGTTCTTTATCTCAAGAACTCCCTTGTTTTTTAAGTTTATTATTATGATCTTGACCATGCGAATAAATTGAAAAATGACAGATATTGATTTCCTACAAATTCTTTCTAGTAAGATTTGTAGAAAAGTCCTTGTTGTTTGGAATTTTTGAAAAATAAGTTTTTTTGAATATTTTGTAAACAAGAAACAAGAGCAATAATTTATCTTGTTTTGTTAACAAAAAAAATTATGCCAGGATTTCAAGAAGCCTACGCATACAAGTTTGAGTTTCTTGAAACCCTAGTATTTCTAGAGTGATACTCAGCTTATATGCCTGGATTTCATAATAAATTCTAGTGGTAATACTATGGTTTAAGAAACTCTGCGGGTGGTAGGCGATGCTCCTCTTTAACACTGCCCCCTGTAGCCTGAACAACACCCAGAAATGGCAGAGAAACACCTTATCCCTATTAGATATTATAGACTCTGGTACTCCATGCAGTCTGACCACCTCTTTGATGAAAGCTGATGCCACTGTTACTGTTATGTATGGATGTCGTAGGGGAATGAAATGAGCAAATTTGCTCAATCTGTCTACTACTACTAGAATCACTCTGAACCCTTCTGATCGGGATAATCCATCTATGAAATCCATGGATACCTTCTCCCTCACCTGACCTGGTAAAGCTAACAGCTATAGTAATCCTCCTAGAGTCATGATCGGGTACTTATTCTTCTAACAGATCTCACATCTGGCTACCATCTCCTCCAAATAATTATGCATCCCATTATAGTACAATTATGAGGCTAGTTTTCTGTATGTCTTTTGCACCCTTAAATTACCCCAACAGTGCTCCCATGGAACTCTTGGAGCAAGTGTGGAATGTGGACTGATATTCTAGGCATCACAAACCTTCCCTAGTACAGAAGCCTCTCCCCTTCCAATGAATACCCTTGATGGCTACTCCCCTTCTTCAATAAACCAGTCATAATCTTCCCTAACTCCTCATCTCGGACACTCTCCTCCTTAATGGCCTCCCAATTCAACATCAGTGGGATCCACTCTATTATTGCCTGTATCATTCCTCTACATCTGGACAAGGCATCTGTCGCCTTATTCTCCACTCTTAGCCTGTACTAGATTTCAAAATCATACCCCCAATGGTTTGGACAGCAACTCTGATGCTCCTCTGTCACCATCCACTGCTCCAACAAATATTTTAGGCTTCGCTAGTCCGTCGTGACAATGAAATGCATGCCTAATAAGTTTGGTCGCCACTTCTGGATGGCTAACACAATGGCCATCAACTCACTCTCATAAACTGATTTCAGCCTAGCCTTAGCTATCAACACATGACTAAAATAGGCAATAGGTTGATGGCTCTGCATGAGCACTATCCTCAATCCATATCATGAGTCATCTGTCTCCTCTATGAAGACCTAAGTGATGTCTAGTAAGGCCAAGACTGGTACAGTAGTAATGGTTTTCTTTAAGCTCTCAAAAGCTATTTTAGCCGCCTCCCCCATAGGAATCCATTCTTCTTCAACTTTTCTTTCAGTGGCCATGCGATGGTGTTATACCCCTTCACGAACCTCATGTCATATCTTGTTAGTCCTATGAATCCCCCTCAGCTCCTTGAGATTCTTAGACATTGGCCATCTCAACATAGCCCTAATTTTTTCTTGGTCTGTTGCCACCCCCTTCTTAAATACAATTTGTCGCAGGTACTCCACACTGGTCTGGGCAAAACAATATTTCTTCAGGTTGGCCCTCAGCTGGCGCTTTTGTAACACCTCTAACACCCTCCTCAAGTCCTCCCATTGCTTCTCTGTCCTGCTGTAAACTAGGATATCATTGAAGAACACTAACACAAATTGCCTGAGATAGGACCTGAAGACCTTGTTCATGAGGGACTGAAACATGGTTGGAGCATTAGTGAGGTCAAAATGCATCACTAAGAACTCATAATGCCCTTCATGAGTTCTGAAAGCAGTCTTAGGCACATCCTCCTTCCTCATCCTAATCTGATGATATCCCGGCTTCAGATCTATTATTGTGAATATAAGCCCCACTCAACTCATCCAACAGCTCATCTATCATGGTTTAAAATTGTGCAATATGAGGCTTGCCTTGAGGCCCGCCTTTGCGCAATTCCAGTAAAAAATGCCTCGATGCTTACGCCTCGAGTTTTTTTATGAGGCATGCGCCTCAACTTGGTTGAGGCCTGCCTCGCCTCACTGGAATGAGGCTTACGCCTCATGCTATATATATTAAAACTTACATAAATCTTGAAGTAAATGCCCAACATTGGACTCTATAGGAGAGGAGGAAGGGGAGAGAGCAGTTCATTATAATGATGATTCAAATGAAAACCCCTTAGTGATGACAGTGTTGATGACTTATGAGTTCCTATGTGATATGTCATTGCTATTTGTTTTTGAAAATTGGAATTATATGTTAATGAAAAGAATATTGGGATTTGGGAAAGATAAAATTTTGAGTTGAACTATATTTCATGTTGTCTTATTGTTGGGATATTTTGATTTCACTTCATATCTTATGCTTTTTTATGTTTTATATTATTCACTCATTAGTATATAAAAAATTTATCATTTTATGTTTACGCAATCTTTTGATCGCCTCAAAACGCCTTGAGGCTTACGCCTCGCCTCACGAATGAAAAACGCCTCAATACCCGAATACGCAATTTTAAACATCGTCATCTATCACTGGTATAGGAAACTTGTCTGCCCTATAGTCCACACAGAACTTCCAACTCTCATCGTTTTTCTTAACTAGTAATACTGGGCTAGAAAAAGGATTAACACTGGGCCTGATAATTCCTGCCTCCAGCATCTCTCCAATCAATTTCTCAATCTTATCCTTCTGAAATTGAGGATAGCAATATGATCAGACGCCGATAGGTGACAAACCTCTCATGGTGATAATATGCTCCTGCTCCCTTGGTGGTGGCAATCCCTGAGGTGGATGAAAATCATCCCTTGCTGCCCCCTCCTTTGGCTCCAAAACATTTGAATTTGAATTAGTTGGCCCCATCTCCTTCTCCCTCTCTCTTGCCGCCCACCTCCTATACACCTAAGCCAACCCTTGGCTAGGGGCCGGCTGGACCTGTCCAATAGGGACCATTCTAACAAAAAATTTGGTTGTGAAAACCTTAGATGCATATGCATTTAATAACTCATTTGAAGCAATCTATGGAGAAAATACTTTTCAACTGCTTTTTATAGCCTTTGAGTTGCACTTGCCACCTTCATTTTCCTTTTAGTACAGGGCTAGACGTGTCAACATGCTTGAAAAAGATGATGAATTGCAAAATGAAAATGAAACTCCAACCACAATCTTTTGCTTCCAGCAACCATTATAGGTGAAGGGTCTTTTAAGAATTGAAATAATTTCTACTAATTCCATCATCGAAGGGATTCTTGTATGTGCAAAACAAGCCTTAGGCACCCAAATATATGAATTTTTTTTTTTAACATAGATCAAATTAAAGTATGCCCCAAATGTCCCAATTGCAATTCACCCTAATTTGTTTATAAAATATTAAAAATCCCCCACACATTTCAAAACAATTATTTTTATTGAATGTAATGCATAGCATTATTGTCTCTCGGATTATGAACTAATACATAGAGTTTATAAGAACTTATTCTCAGGAACATGGTAAACCATGTTTATGTCAACCTCGTTCCTTAAATGTCTATAAAACTCTTGTCATCCGCATATAACATATTTTAAGAAAGTTGTTCAATATGATTTGATATGTTTTGTTCTTGTGCCAATCAGGATTTATGATCACTTTAGAAAACTTTTCTTTGCTTTCATAAAGCAGCCCCACTTCCATAATCATATTGGAGATTTCATCAAGTTTGAATTGTAATTAAGTACACCATCTTTAATAAAGGAGTATAGAAATCATTAAGAGCATTGCTTATTCTCCTTTAGTGCAGCTATACCCTCTAACACTATAGAAGTGGACCTCTCTGGATAATTAAGGGATAGCGCCTAACCACGTTAACCAGAGGCTTTTTACCTATGTGAACCTACTTCATGTGATCACCATTTACATAGGTTGCCTTGCCATCTCTGTAACTTGTATATTAGACATAAGCTCCCATCTCCTTGATGTGTCCACTTATTATTTTCCTAGTAGTTTTGTTAGAGGACTTGGTAGTTTCGTTTTTGACTCACGAAATTATAGAACCATCATTCAAAGTCTGTTACCCAATATTGAATTTTTTGGCCAATATGCATGCCACCGCATATCATTATAAGTTTTGTTATTTGTTTTCACTATTTCAGATTGACAGTCATAATGATGTGACATAGATTGAACTAAACATGTGTATGTTTGCTAAGAGGTTTTTAAGCCACTCGGCCTTAGTGCTAGGCTGCTAGCCTTTTTGATGATAATAAACTCGGGTCTCATAGTGAATCAAGCAACATAAGTTTTCTTAGAAGATTTTGATAGATTGAATCTCCTCCAAGCGTGAAGATATATGTCGACAAGTGGACTTAGTTTCATTTGAATTCTATATCTAATTTGCATATTATACTCATTAATACAAGTGGGAACCGCTAAAATACAAGGAATATTTCATTGTGTCTTTCAAAAACGCAAGAACCTTACTTAAAAAGTGAAATAGTGATAGTAATGAGTATGTCTACTCAATTTGTTCATAGCATATGCATGCATTATTAGATCTCGAGCAATTCACTAGGTACTTCATGTTATGATTTGTGCATGCTCCTACCCCTACCGTGGAACACTAGCAAATAAAGTTTTCAGCTTATAATTTTCATCAGAAGAGGTACTAAAAGAACTTGTGTAGAAGTTTCTAATTTTTTGCAAAATTTTCTCAACAAGGTGCTCATGCAACAAGAAATAATAATATTTACTGCACCTAAATATTTAATGTCAAAAT